CTATGTGAAGATAAGTCAAAGGTCCTGCTTGATCATAGTTGACTTCGCTTGGAAGCATGGAGGAAGTGATTCCTCTGTGTTGACCCTCCTCTTTGCAGACTGGACACTGGTTCAAGTCCATCTGGTGGGGTCTCCTCAGCCTCCTTGATCAAGAGGACAGGTGACCCACCACAATTACAGGACATTTTGAGAGATGCTCATAGTCCCTGGGAACTAATCAACCTAGGAGGGCAAGGAGCAAAAAGTGTCCTTTGTATCCCTCTGACCCAATTAGTATAGGCCTCAAAGTATATCTGTTAAATATCCAAGAAGGTTAGTTCCACCAGTCTGGTACTTATAATTACTGTGTGAACCATATTACTCCTACAACCTATTGACAAATTATACACAGCAGATCAAGAAATATATGTCTAGGTAAGGTTTATCTGAGAACAATTGGTCTTTGCCCAAGATTTATCTACATGACAGTTCTCTCTTTTTATCATGTGGGTCTTGGGAATCAAACTTGGCTCAGCAGGCTGTGTGACAAGCACCTTTAACCCACTAAGCCATCTCACTGTCACAATCATGAGTTTCTAAATGGAATGGATGCGCACACTTCACAAATCTACCATGGTTGCCACTTTCATGTCCAAGTTAGTGTAAAGCACCAGATAATGCAGAATGTGAGAACTTTAAATACTGCCAAGAACAAGGGGTAGACAGGCAGAACCGCTGATTGATGACAAAGCAGTTACAGGAGTTTGGTACCCGTGGGAGGCAGGAGCCCTTTCATGGAGCCTATTGATCCCTGGAGTTTGCTTCTGTTCTGATGCTGGAATTATTTGGTATCTTTTAAGTAGCCAGTTTCTTGGCTAAAAGTCAAAATGTCCCTGGGACTGTTAGCAACATACTCTGTTCCAAAGGCCCAAAATTTCAAAAGTATTTGGGAACTTGTATCTAACCCTTAAAAGATTTTAGGGTTACCTCTTCAGAGGGGGTAATGTTAGAGTACCCAAAAGCCCCATAAAAATAAATAAATGGGCCAGGTGTGGTGGCACATACCTTTAATCCCTGCACTCCGGAGGCAGAGGCAGGTGGATCTCTGTGAGTTCAAGGCCAGCCTGGTCTACATAGTGAGTTCCAGAACAGCTGGGGCTACAGGGAGACCCTATCTCAAAAAGACCAATAAATGAAAAAAGAAAAAAAGAAAGGAAAAGAAAAAAGTGATGGGGAGATATGAGAGGTGTTGGAAGCGAGGGAGTGGGCATGGATTTTATCAAAACACCTTATATGAATATATGAAATTCTCAATAAAGTTTTTGTAAAAGTTAAGCACTGCCTTTTTGCAGTGCTTAAAAGCAAAGCAAAATCCAAAACAACCCCCTAAACTATTTTTAATCTTTTTTTAAATAAAGGAAATACAATTGTTCTATACTAAGTAAAACATGTACTTTACATCTGTGAAAAAATAAAGAAATTATGCCACTAATTCTGAAAAACAAAACCTTTCTCCATTAGAATATGGAATGCTATTTGCCAAAACTTACAACAAACTAACAGACCGAAAGCATTAAAATAGGAAAATTAGATTGTCACACAGTCCCTCCTTTTCTTGTCCAAGTTGATTTACTTTTCTAAAGGTGAGCATGTGTTGTGGAGGTTTACTGTTCTCTTTCCTCTTAGGTATTTGGAGAAGAAACGGCTGTGCTTCCCTCGGTTCTTCTTTGTGTCAGATCCTGCTCTTCTAGAGATCCTGGGGCAGGCGTCGGACTCCCACACGATCCAGGCCCACTTGCTGAATGTGTTTGACAACATTAAAACTGTCAAGTTCCATGACAAGGTTTGCCCAATTATAGTTGTTAACCAGCATTCACCGTGTCTTGGTCTAGTAATTCTTTAATACTGTGTTTACAAGTGATCTACTTCCTTCTCATTTATTCTTGGTCAATGATTGAAAACAAACTCTGGAGTACAAAGTTACCTTCAGAGTCTATGGTACGTTAATATCCAAGGTGCAGATTTGAATAAAAATATAATTTTTGATGTGATTAAAAATGCATTGTGTGACACTCAGGAGGCTGAGGCAAGAGGATTACAAGGTTAAGGCCAGCCTGGTCTACTCAGTGAGTCCAAAACTAGTCTAGGATACAGAACTAATCCCCTCTTTAAAATAAGCAAGCAAATAAACAAAAACACAGAACACCACCACCAAAAGTGTTACCATATAGCATTTATGGTTTTACATACCAAGTTAACTACTTAGAGAAACCAATTGCTTATATATAGTGCCTTGACTAACCAGAATTGCTGCATGAATTTGATTATTTATGTCACGCTTCGGAAGTTTTTGGTGTGCTTTCTTTGAGCCATCTTATTTTGCTTTACATTTCCAGCATATTTATGGTGACATGGAGTCACATGAGACCTCAAAGAGATTATTCAACTTGAGGGAGAGTACACTTGCACAGCCGCCAGAAGATATTGTCTGGTCTACTCTTCCATCCAAAATTCCTAGGAAAGTGACCTTCCCCTTCTGCCTTTGTATTCAGTCCTCTGGTACCTCATATAAAGCCAGTGATACTCATTTATTTATCCTATCAGCCAATTTAATTTATTGAGTAGCTATCATGTACCAGATGCTTTGCATAAGAATGGGAATACACTAGCCTCAGGGAACTTGTGTTCTGATGGAAGAGATGCAGAAGTAAACAAATGGAGTCTATAGAGTGCAGTTAATGTAGTGGTAGAACTATTCCATGGTAAGCAGTTAAAAGCCAACCACTGCGGTCAGGCCCCTTGCTGTGTGCTACAATGAGGTGGGCCTGAGGGTTCCCTTGCTGTGTGCTACAATGAGGTGAGCCTGAGGGTTCCCAAGGAGACTTGTTCATCACCAGCACAGAAGTCTTTCTAGTGTATCACAACAATGAAGAGAAATTTGGCTACTAAACTGTTGATACATTTGGAGTGAATTATGCTGTTGTGCTTGAGTTAAGTACAAGAGAGCCCTAACCAGGCTTATGGGAGTATTGGGGAACATTGACTTAGATTCTTTAAAGGTAAGTGAAACACAACCAAGCGGGTGAAGAACAGAAGTATGGCCTGGCCAGAAGGGAGTGTGTGTGAGAGTCTGGAGGTGTGTGCAGCTCAGAGTCAGAGCTTTGGGGATATGAAGGGGCGGATTAGTGTTTCAGGATTTTCATGGCTTAGGACAATGGCAATGCGTTCTCTCCCAGTTCTGAATGCTGAAGGCAGAAGTTAGGTGGCAGCAGTGTGGGTTGTCCATATTCTACGCCTCTGCCGTAATTTCTCATGACTTTTGACAATTCTTGGTGTTTTGGGCTAATAGTTGTGCCTTCACATATTGCTGTTGCTGTGTGATTTTGTGCCTAAAATTCCCTCTTCTTATAAGGACACCTATTCCTTTTTTTAATTTTTAAAATTTTATTTTAATTTTATATATATGAGTGTATTGCCAGCATATGTATTAGTGCACCCGAGTCATTCAGTGCTCGTGGAGGACAGAAGAGGGCATTTGGATCCCCTTGAGCTGGAGTTACAGGGTTGTTAGCCGCCACATGGGTTCTGGGATTCAAATCTGGGTCTTCTGCAAGAACAGCCAGTGCTCTTAACCACTGAGCCATCTCTCCAGCCCCAAGGACACCTATTCTTATTAGGAGACTCTAATCCATTATGACTTTATCTTAACTTGACTAGTTACAAATAATTTCATATTCACAGGCACTGGGGTTTACAGCTTTAACATATCTGTTTTGGAGGTCATATTTCAATCCACAAGAGGGAGTAATGAGCAAAGAAATAAAGTATCAAGGGCAGATTCCAAAGGCCAGCCGCACCACATCATGGAACTCACTTTATCCAGAGTGTGTCAAAAAGCTGCAAGAGGCTCCTAAGTGGGACTCTGACTCAGTTTGTATTTCAGGAACTTTGTTTGGTGCTTACTTCCAGTTTTGGAAGTGGAATGGAAGGAAGCAGGGATGGAGAGCTGCTGTGGTAAGGAAAGACAGGTAGATTTTAATGGCCAAGAGCAATAATGGTCTTGTTGATGTGTGAAATATGTAGGTTAAAATTCATGTCTTAGTCTAGAAACTGTTCCTTAATGGAAGTTGTACTTTTCTTTATCTTTTTCACATCCTCCTGTTATTCACTTCTAACATTTTTGTTTATTGTTTGTTTGTTTGAGATAGGACTCGCTATATAGCCTAGACTGGTCTAGAAGTCACTTTGTAGCTCAGGATGGTCTCAAGTTTATGATCCCACTGCCTCAGCCTTCCAAGTGCTGGGATCACAGACATTTGCCATTATGTTCAGCCTGTCCTATCAGTTTTTATTATGGTTAAACTAAATGTAGTCTAAAGTAGTATTGGGTTTCTGGTGGTTGGTTGTCTTTGTATGTATATTTACCAACAACAAAATTCTTTTAAAAATATTTAATTTATTTATTATTTTTATTTTATGTGTATGAGTGTATCGCCTGCATGTATGTGAGTGCACCCATGTTGTGCAATGCCATGGAGATCAGAAGAGGGCATCAGATTCCCCTGGAACTGGAGTAAAGGATGGTTCTTAGTCGCCATGTGGGTGCTGGGAATTGAACTGGGTCCTCTGCAAGAGCAGTCAGTGCTCTTAACTGCTGAGCCATCTCGCCAACCCTAACAATAAAATTCTTAAAGAAAGGGATTTTATCATTCAGGAAGTTCTTGATGATTTGTGGGAGTCTTTCTGTCACAGCACCAGAATATCATGGTTCAAGGAAAAGCTTTTCCTGTCTCAAGTTGTACAGTAAAGATGATTTAAGCTTACTCATCTGTTGAACAAATGCTTGCACATCTTTAGCCTCTGTTCATAGCAATTACTTCTGAAGACAACATTGCTTTTGTTTCTTTCTTGTTATTTTCATAAGGTTGGTACACCCAGAGGTAGATCCCGATTTTGTGGGTTCTAAATTTTATAAAATTATAAATGCAAAATTACATTCCTCAACTTGGAAAGTGTTCATACAGATGAGGAGCCTACATTTAATGTAGATTATATTCTTGGTGGATCACTTAATTAGTACAGCAATAAATCTTAGTCCCTAAAGAACAAGGTTTTCTTTTAAACCAAAGAGCAGAAACAAGAGTAAACATTTGCATTAATTTTGTTATTTTGCTTAATTGTCATGAACAGTATGAAGTGGGTGGACATACAGAAGAGGCAGTTTTTTTAATGACTAATATAGTGCTGTCGTCCACTACGTGGTTAGTCAGCATCTGTAGCTTGACCTCTGGATAGTGTGACCTCGTTGTGCTGTGCTGCATGATGGCTGAAGTGGACCCTGTGGAGGGGGAGCTGGGTTTGTTTAGAAAACACATGCCTCAGATCCTGTAAAGAGTACCACGGGACAGAATTGGAATCACGTTGTAGTGTCTTTGTCCTTATTATCATGTTGGTTTGGTCATTTCTAATGTCAACCTGATAATTTTGTGGTGTGGACTCACAGCCTGTTTCGATCACCCCATTTAATTTGGAGAGTTTTAGAGTATTTTTTTTTCCCTTTGCCACATTTGTATTGTCTTTCTTTTAGTAAGTAAGTTCATTCCTTTAGAGTACTCATAACTTGGAATTGATTTGGGATTCCTTTTTAGATTTTTAAGTCTAGCTTTTTGCTGTTTTGAAAATGACTTTATGTCATGTTATGTCATGTATTCTGTAATCTGTCCCTTAACTTCATATGGGAATTATAACATTGGTAAAAGGGGAATGGAGGAACAGCCAAGTGCTATTTCTTATTTTTATATGAATATCGCTATTTTCATCTTCTGACCTAGATCTATGATCGAATTCTGTCCATTTCCTCTCGTGAGGGTGAGACAATTGAATTGGACAAACCTGTGATGGCAGAGGGCAGTGTGGAAGTCTGGCTTAACTCTCTGCTGGAGGAGTCTCAGTCCTCATTACATCTTGTGATTCGCCAGGCAGCTGCAAGTATTCAAGAAACAGGTTTCCAATTGATTGAATTTCTTTCTTTCTTCCCGGCTCAGGTCAGTGTTTTGAAATTGGAAAGTTTTTTACTTTTTATTTTTATAAAATAGTCATTTTAAATATCAGATATTTTCCATTGTAAGCTTCACAAATGAAATAAATTTACTGTGGACCAATATTAAGATTTTCATAAAGACTTATTAAATATGGATA